CTTCTGACCACAGGGCCACATAAATCCATGGCATTCTCCTACATAAGCACAACACAGTCGTCCAAGCTGAGAAATTTCATGCAGCATCCAGTGTGCAGTTCACATTCAGATGTCCCAACAGTATCTTTTATAGCTTATTTAAAAAAATATATATATATTCTGGATTCACTGAAAGATTACCTATTTATTACAAACCCCCCCCCCTTTTTTTAAAGCTTCTTATTGGAAAATATCCTTGCAAAAAGTTAAAATATTGGATCCTAAGGCATATTTTTGACTGCTAACCAAAAGGCTGGCAGTTCAAACCCACCAGCCACTCCTCAGAAGGAAGTTTGGGCAATCTACTTCCGTAGTGATACTGCTTTGGAATCCCAAGGAAGGGGTCACTATGAATCGGGTCCGACTCTACGGCACATAACAACAACAACAAGAAGACATATTTTCTAGTATCTATAATTTTCAGTAGCCGATTTCTTTTTTGTCAAAATTACAGAGGTAATATATGGGGCGTTAATGATATTTAACCTTTAAAAATGCAGAATTAGGATTACAGATCTTGCTTTCATTTTCTCCCATTTACTTCTTACAGAAAACCTATGGCTTTAGAAACTTCAAGTAGTTGTTTGACTTGCAGACGAATGGGCAGTATTTCTCTTTATGCTTAATGAGATTTATAGATGGTACAAGGAGCTCTGGTGGTACATTAGTTAAAGCAGTTGGCTGCTAACCGGAAGGTTGGCAGTTCAAACACACCGGCTGCTCCATAGGAGAAAGATAAGGCAGTCTGGTGGTTCTGTAAAGATTTACAGTCTTAGAAACCCTATGGGGGCAATTCTGCTCTGTCACAGAGGGTTGCTGTGGGTCAGAATCAACCTGATGGCAGCAGGTTTGGTTTGGGGCTTGGGGTAGTTGGTATTAGGTTTACCTGTATACTTTAGGACCTAAAGGAGGGAAATTTTGCCTTAGTTTAGTGTAGCACTTGTTGTTGTTGTTAATGTGCCATCAAGTCGGACCCAACTCATAGCAACCCCTCCTTGGGCTTCCGAGGCAGTATCACTACGGAAGTACATTGCCCAAACTTCCTTCTGAGGAGTGGCTGGTGTGTTTGAACCACCAGCCTTCTGGTTAGCAGTCAAGTGCCTTAGGTATACTACGTTACCAGCACTTTGCACCCCAATTTTTCTTTTAAAATTTTATTTTGTTGTTCTTAAGACTATGCATAGCAGAACATACACCAGTTCAACAGTTTCTGCATGCATAATTCAGTGACATTGATTACATTCTTTGAGTTGTGTAACTTCTCAGCCTTCTTTTCTGCCTTGTTCCTTCCCCATTAACATCATTTCACTGCCCCCTAATGTTTAAATTTTGTTTTCTTGATTACAACCAAAAAACCCAGTTCATGTTAATTGTAGAAATCAAAGAGAAATTGCAGCACTCACAGCTCCAGCACCTAAAAGTGGCGATGTCTGACTCTTTAGAGAATAACTTTTGTCTTTTTTTCTATGCAAACATGTTCACACAATTTTCTTTTTTTAAACAGATGGTGGAATCATATTGTATGAAGTTAACTGTTTAGTAACTTGCTGTATCATCAGCATTTCCCCTAGCATTTAATATTCTATAACTTTATTTAAAATAGTTATGGTACTGTTCCTTTATGGAAATGGTGTAGTTATTATTTTTTGTTTTTAGAGTTTTAAAAAATTATAGAAATGCAGCACAGTAAAATAACAGAACACAAATGTACAGCTTAATGAACTGTAATCAAGTGAACGCCCTTGTCACCAAGATTGAGATACAGAACTTGGCCATCAGCTGGGAGTTCCTTTCGTACCCTTTCCCAATCACGATCCCGTTCTTCCCCTTATATCATTTTGTACCTGTGTTTGCATTCCTAACACTATAATTTAGTTTTGCCTATTGTAAAACTTTGTACAGGTGAAATCATTATATATACATTCTTTTTGGTCTAGCTTCTTTCATTCAGTATTTTGTTTTTAAGATTCATCAATATGTGTGTGTGTGAGTAGCTTTATTAGTTCATTCATTTTTATTACTGCTGTATAATAGTCCATGAATACACTTACTTATTAATTGATTCTGTTGATGGGCACGTGGGTTATTTATAGTTTGGCCTCTTAGGAATGATGGTGCCATGAACATTCTTGATATGCTTTCTGATATGTACACACATGTATTTCTCTAAAAAATCCAAACCTAGGAATGAAATTGCTGGGTCATAGGATGTTTGTATTTTCAAATGTACCAGATGGTGTGAAACTATATTCTCAAATGGTTGGATCTATTTGCAGTGTATCTGTTCCACTTCCTTGTTAACACTTGGTATTGTCAAACTTTAATTTTAGCTATTCCAGTGGATGTGGTGATACCTCATTATGCTTTTAATTTGCATTATTTTCTGTTTTTCTTATTGTTAAGTGAAGTTAAATAGCTTTTCGTATGTCTCTTGGCCCATTTGGATATCCTCTTTTGTGTAGTACAATTTTTCTTCCAGATTGCCTTTTTGTTATTGTTCTGTGTGGTTCAGATAAAAGTTCTTCGTTGGTTATATGAGTTGTAAATATATCTTCCTGACACTGTACAGGTAGCTTGCCTTTTTGATGAATGGAAAATCTTAATTTTAAGATAGTTCAGTTGATTAGTTTTTTTTTTTACTTTCTAAGAGTTAATGCTTTTTTTATGTCTTAGAAAGTATTGGATTGAAAGGTATATGCATTTTTTTAGATTTTTGCTAACAGTTTACTCTCCCATTGGCAGTGTATGAACTCTTGGTACTATTTTCATTCCTGTCACCAGTGAATGCATGATTTTTCCACCTTCTTGCCAGGACTGGTGTTTTTGGATCAGTTTTGCCAGTGTAAGGGATTTCATCTGTTCGTTAATACGTGTTTTTTCTTTGCTTGCCTGTGAGATTCAGGCAATCTTTCATCATTCCAAGAAGATGGCAGTCAATAAAGGTGATCACAAGATCAATACTAAAAATATTCCTTAAACTTTGATTCTGAGGGACATTTAAGGCCATTGGGGGAAAAGATAAGAACCTAAAAACTATTCTTTTTCTTTTAAAATTTAAGTCAGAGTGGTTTTAGTTTAAATTAATGAAAATAAACTAATGAAAACTTAATATAGTAGATCAGGGGAGCCTTAAAATTGATGAGTAAGATTTTTGTGATCCCCTTAAAATTTTTGGTACATTTTAAAAAGGCAGAATCATAATTTTACCTACTTTGCTTCACACACTTTTATTCTAGAAGGCACCCCTCTCCCCTTTACAACTTAGCTCTGCTCCTCCTCCTTCCAACCTCTAGTGTTCATCATTCATAAACCTTCCTTGTTGTGAGGTGTGAGGCAGTTCCTTGGAAATGAGTAGAGGTGAATTCTGAGACTAGACAGCAAGAGCTGGGCTTGGGCAGGTGGTGAGATTCAGGGTGGAGTTCTCCTTTAGAGCCTCATTGCTGGTGTACTACCTTAGCTTAGATTGTCAGCATTTGTCATGGGACTTTTGGGGGTAGTCTAACCTTTCTCCCTGCCTCCAGGCTTCCTGTGTTTGCTAGAATGAAATCCCTAAGACTAGGTTAGGGTTAATATCCTTCAGAGACTCCAAAACATTAAAAATCCTTTAGCATAGTGTCTTACTGTCTCCCCTCTTGCTCTGTCTCTCTAGCCTCCTAACTTATCTGGCTCCCCACGCCCTTACCAAAATTTGCAGTGCCCTGAACTTGGAATGTTCTTCCACATTTGCTCATTCCACTATGTAGAACCCTCTCTCGTCTCCCTACTGCCAACCTATCTGCCTAGTAACAAACTTATTTCAGAACTCCGTTCCAGCAATACAGCCCTCTGGAAGCTTTATCCCTCTGATACTTTCTATACCCCATGCTCTCTTTCTCCCAGCTCAGGGAGTTAGGTCCCCTTTTTTCTGAGCTGCTGCAGCTCTCTGTACATACTTCAACCACTGTGTTTAATACTGTAACCATTTTAATTTTCTCCCCTGCTTGATTATTAAGCTCCTTAATGGCAGGGCCCTGAATGCCTCTCATTACTCCTCCCTCTTCCCTGCCCCAGAACTAGCATAGCTTATAGGAAAACAAACAAACCCCAAAAAGGTTGCTGTTGTGTCAATTCTGATATATAGCAACCCTGTAGGGCTAGAAAGTAGAACTTCCCCATAGTGATTCCAAGGCTGTAAATCTTTTACAGAAGCAGATTGCTACGTTTTTCTCCCATAGAGTGGCTTGTGAATTTGAACTGCCAACCTTTTAGTTAGCAGCCAAGTGCTTAACCACTGCACCACCAGGGCTCCTTGTAGTTTATAGGTGACATCCCATATTTAGTGACTGATTGAAAACAGAATTGTGTTTTTCTTAATGATGTATGTGTGAAAAGAACTTGCTGAGAAAAAGGTCAGTTAGAAAGGGTATCAATATTTAGAATATCAGTGTTCTAAATCCCTCTTCTCCGAAAGCATACAACATTAGGAATGACCAGTGTGCTTATAAAGGAGCCCTGGTGGCTCATTAAGGAGCTCTGGTTGTGCTGTGGTTAAAACATTGGGGTGCTAACCAACAGGTCAGCAGTTTGAACCCATCAGCTGCCTTGGGAGAAAGATGAAGCAGTCTGCTTCCTTAAAGATTTACAGCCTTGGGAACCCTGTGGGGCAGTTCTACTATGTTGTATAGTGTCCCTGTGAGTTAGAATCAACTCCATAGCAGTGGGTGGTGGCGTTACAGTGATTAAGCAGTTGGCTGCTAACCATAAGGTCAGTGGTTTACCCCCCCCCCCCAGCCACTCTGCAGGAGGGAAAGACTTGGTAACCTTCTCCTGTAAAGATAACAACCTAGGAAACTCTTACGGTGTGATTCTGCTCTGATCTTTGGGGTCACTTGAGTTGGAATCGACTCGCCAGCTTACAACACAGTGTGCATATATAGGATTTATGGGATTTTGCTTACCTGAGTTGTTCCGTGCTGTCACAGAAGGATGCCCTGCAGTGGTCCCGCAGTCCCGCTGCGGTGGAGGGAGAGGAGCCAGAGGACACAGCAGACGTGGAGAGCTGTGGTTCTAATGAAGCTAGCACTGTGAGTGGTGAACATGATGGTAAGTACCCTTAACAAGGTGTAAGGGAAGAGCCACAAGCATTCCTAGGGACTAATCTTTAATTTCCTCTCTTCCAGTGTCTCTTGATGAAACATCTTCAAATGCATCCTGTTCTACAGAATCTCAGGGTCGGCCTCTTTCCAATCCCAGGGACAGCTACAGAGCTTCCTCGCAGGTGGGGAAGAGAGTTGGTGGCTGGGCTGGAAGGACGAATGAGGGCAGGTGTGAGACAGGAGTCTTCCTTCTGCAATTAACTGTGGATGTGTTTGAAGAATGGAGAAAATAAGTTTGGTCTCCACCTATTAGTACCATTTAAAAGAGGGCCATAGGAAAGGTGGATGGTAGATTTGAGAGCAGGATGGTTTATTTTTTCCATCCTACTATGGATAACTTTGTTAGTTCTTACAATCAAAACAGGGACATATAAGGGGGCCTGGGTAGTATAGCACAACGCAGAGTGATGAAGACATGAGCTTGACAGTCAGAGATACTGCAGTTTGAATTATGGCCCTGCTACTTACTGGCTTTGGGGCCTTGGTCAAATCACTTACCTGTAGAATGAAAGATAATACATTATTTTCAGAAGAAGAGATGTTGCATGTGAAGTTCTTGGCACAGTGGCCAGCACATAGCTCAGTAACAGTAGTCAGTGCTGCTGTTAGTATCACTTACTGGTCTGGTAGAATGCAAACTTTTTTTCACAAGAGACTGGGAGAGATGTATAAAGAAGGAGTGCTGTTGTGGCCCTGCAGATGGTTCAAGGCTCTTTCAATTCTCTCTTGGAATATAGGCAAACAAGCAAAAGAAAAAGACGGGGGTGATGCTGCCTCGAGTTGTCCTGACTCCTCTGAAGGTAAACGGGGCCCACGTGGAATCTGCATCAGGTATGTGTGTATCATAATTGTGGTGCTTCTTCCTCAGGTCCCTGTACCTGCCTCCCTGTATCAACCATTTCTGACCTAGGTAGTGTGATGCCGGTAGAGCTGTTTAGCCACAGAGTCAGGAGACCCACCCTCTGGAATCAGCACGCTGTGGTGGTGAGACCCATCTTAGCTGGGCTCTGCTGTGTGCCCCCCTCTTCACCTCACAGGGCAGTCATGAGGCTATGGTGAAGCAGGATACAAGTGCTTTGTGGACACTGTTGTGCTGTACCCATAAGGTAGTGGTTTGGCATTCTTCAGGTGATATTTTAAAGCCAGACCACGAAGTGGTGATTTCTGACAGCCCAAGACTGGGATATAGAAGCACCCAGTATTGCCGGCAGCATCTCAGGGAGAACTGGGAGAACTAAGCTTGTCTGAGAGCCATGGGTGTGGTGTTGTGATGTTTTTGACCTGTGGAATGCTGTGCCTTCAGGGTTCTCAGGCCGCCACGCTGATGGCGAGAGTGGCAGCCCGTCCAGCAGCAGCAGCGGCTCTCTGGCCCTGGGCAGCACTGCTATTCGTGGCCAGGCCGAGGTCTCCCGGGACCCTGCCCCACTCCTGAGAGGTTTCCGGAAGCCAGCCACAGGTGAGTGGCTTGGCACTCATTGTCTGTAAAGGGGCCCCTTCAGGCTTAGTGAGAAGATGATGTCTTCTACTCCATTCCTTTCTCATTTTACCATTAGTTCTTGGGTGGCCCTCTTTTCTTTTTTTTTTTTTTTCTTTTTTTTAAACCTTGTATTTTCCTTACTTTATGTACAGATGATCTTTGCTAGACTGTGACAGAACTCCCTGGGGTCAGAGGTGATGCCACATGCGTCCTTGTATGTCCCCCCTGTAAGGGCCTAGCCTGGTGCCTGGCTTGGTGCTGCTTAGTCAGTGTTTTGAGTGAGTGAAAATTGCTTGTGAGCTTCTCAGTGAAGAATTCCAACACCCCACCCCACCCTTTTTGGTAGAGTCCTGCTACATTTGTTCTCAGTATCTGTAGTTTTTGTCAGAATTATCCTGTTTTTCAACTTAGTATGCTGAAGCATATGTTGAATTTTAGAGATGCAAACGAATCTAGTAGTGGTACGAGGTATCCCTATCCACCCCTCAATAGGACTGTTGAAAGGCAGGTATGCTGTGTACTATTTAAGGATTTATTTCTTAGGCCATACTTTTTTCTTTTTTGTAAATGGGCCACATCAAACCATTAAAACTAGCCTTGGCTTCTGAAAGTTAGAATAAACCATTATCCAAGTGGGAACTAGGTTTGCTATCTTGCTACTTTTCCAACTCATCAGCAGTGCTCAGGGTAAGGTCTGTTGTTATGTGCTGTTGAGTCATCTCTGACCCATAGCAACCCCTCCTTGGGTTTCCCAGGCGGTATCACTGTGGAAGTAGATTGCCCAGCCTTCCTTCCAAGGAGTGGCTGGTGGGTTTGAACTGCCAACCCTCTGGTTAGCAGTCAAGTGCCTTAGGCACTACGCCACCAGAGCTCCCAGGATAAGGTCTAACAGGTCTCTGTTTTTCGGGTAAAAGTAACAATTGCTTAGGCTTCTGTGAAAGGTATTGACATTTTGGTTGGCTTTGAACAACCCTTAGTACATTTCTGCATATGGATCATACACCTCCAGCCCCTTCACAGAAGGCTTCTGCAGATTTTTTTGTAGTATATTAGGTAGATTTGCCTTTAGACCACTTCTGTCATTTCTTTAGTTGGGCTTTGTGGATCCTGTTCTCCAGCTTTGAAGGCAAGCTGAGACTCTGCGCCCCACCTGGTTTTTCATGGGAATAGTGTACTCTCTTAGGCTGTGACACAGCATGGTACAGCGTGTTGGAGAGGATACAAGCTTGGCTATGCTCTAGGTTTGATGGTAATGTCAGGAACCGAAAGAGTGATGGTGAAATACCAATTGGGCTGAACTGAAAGGTTGAGTAGATTGTGTGCAATAAACCTGGGCAACTTGGTGCTGCCACCAGAGTTTTCCTTTCTTTGAGAGAGGCATTTGCTTTTTTGCTTTAAGAAGATAAAAATCTATACCTTGCTTCTTCCTGCTTCAAAACTCACAGGTCAGATGAAACGCAACAGGGGAGAGGAGATAGATTTTGAGACACCTGGGTCCATTCTTGTCAACACCAACCTCCGAGCCCTGATCAACTCTCGAACCTTCCATGCCCTGCCATCTCACTTCCAGCAGCAGCTCCTCTTCCTCCTGCCTGAAGTCGACAGACAGGTGAGGCTGGGCAGCCTCTTCTTTGTCTCTGAGTGGGCTTCTGTTCTCTTAAGTTTCTTTTTTCCTTTTTTTGGCCTTGATCCTTGTAGGTGGGGACAGATGGCCTATTGCGTCTCAGTAGCAGTGCACTGAATAATGAGTTTTTCACCCATGCGGCTCAGAGCTGGCGGGAACGCCTGGCTGACGGTAGGTAGACTTCATCCTCTCAAATGGCTTGAGATGTGCCTGCCATGTGTTTTTGTTACTTTCCTCCTGCTATTTAAAACCCAAGCACTCCATTTTCATCAACCTTTTTCTTGTCTCTCAAGGGATGTTTAGTGTAAAGCTGGTTCTCCTTACAATACTGATAAATGTGGTAGGTGTTTAGGTGCCGCACAGCTCTAAAGTGGCCACGGGGTATTGTATTAGCAACTGTTCCTCTAAATGTGGTCCCTCCATGTTTGTGGACTTGTAGTGGATTGTGTGTCTATATATCCATCTTGTGTCTCTTCTTCGTCAAGAGTACTGTAACCATGTCTGCATAGTGGAAGACAGTACACTGGGGCAGTGATGTACTGTGCTGCACTGTGTGCTCTCCTTTTTAAGCATTGCCACTTTGTGTGATTAGCATCTCTTAATTTAATTTTGTGGGCAAACACCATGGGAGTGGGTCTGAGGAGGCCCCCAAGACCACCCCCAGGTTTGATGATTTGCCAGGAGGACTCAAAGGACTTCAGTGTCTGGTCGTCTTCACAGCTGTGATATACAGTAAAAAGGAGGGTACAAAGCAAAAATCAGCAAAGGGAAAGGTGCATGGGGCAAACCCTGGAGGGGACCTGCTCCATCAGTGGAGTCACACAGGGCATGCTTAATCCCCCCAGCAACGAGTTGTGAGAACACATGGGAAGCGTTACTGTCTAGGGAAGTTTGTTAGAGTTTTTCATTGGGGGCTGATCACATAGGCAGCGTGCCTCAGAAGTAAAGCCAGGTGTTCAGCATGAACAGTATTGATTGCACAAACAGTTTAGGCAGCACAAGCCACTCTTAACAGTTATGGGTGGAAGAGAACCCTCCTGAAATCCATGTTCCCAGGTGCCAGCCAAGGACCAACCTTGTAAGCAGGTCTTCTTTATAAGGACAGGCCATTAGTCCTGCTGAGCTAATAACTCTTTTCTGCATAGGAGTAAGTAATGGTTGGTTGTTTCTTTTTGAAGAAAAACTTTGTTTACTATTACATGATCGGTGGATTATTCTAGGGAAGAGTAACTCTCTCTTGTAGTAGACATGTTAGCCCTGTCCTGCATACGATAGTTCCAAAGTCACATATACTTTGAAAACTCCTGATGTGGTCAAACTAGAAAATGTGGCTGTCACTAAGGTGGCTATTAATACCCTGAGTGCACTCACTGGAAGAGGTTTATTTCTCTCTAGGGGAATTCACTCATGAGATGCAAGTCAGGATACGACAGGAAATGGAGAAGGAGAAGAAGGTGGAGCAATGGAAAGAAAAGTTCTTTGAAGACTACTATGGACAGAAGTAAGGCACTTGGTCTGAGTTGTGGTCTGGGCTCTTTGGGGGCATTAGAAAAGTTAAAGTAACTTAACAGGGGACTTAAAAGTAGTGTCTACTTAAGTGCTGGACAGTAATGGGAGATTTCAGTCACTCGGGTCATTTCGGTTAATCCCATTCATAGTGATGCGCATGTACATTTTCCTATGGTGTCATTCACCATGGAGATTGTGTGTTTACTGTGTTCTTAGAGACCTATATATCTGAGTACATATTATTCATAGAAATAAAACGGTCACGTCTTCTCTGGCCTGTAACTGATGGTGTGGGTGTTCGGTTTCAGATTGGGTCTGACCAAAGAAGAGTCGTTGCAGCAGAACTTGGGCCAGGAGGAGGCTGAAATCAAGAGTGGCTTACGTGTCTCAGGAGAATCAGTAAGGCCGCAGCGCAGTCTGGCCACCCGGCAGCGTGATGGGCATTTCAAGAAACGCTCTCGGCCAGAGCTCCGAACCAGAGCCAGAAGGAATCTATACAAAAAACAGGAGCCAGAGCCAGCAGGGGTTGCTAAGGACGTGGTATCTGTGGCACCAGACATCCCCCTCTACAAGGATGGAGAGGCTAAGGCTGACTCGGCAGGGGTGAGCAGTCCCCACCTGCCAGGCATGTCCTCTCCAGCATCCGGCCCAGAGGGTCCCGAATTCCCAGCTGAACCTGTGGCTTCCCGGATCCAGACTGAGCCAGACGACTTGGCATGTGCCTCTGCAGCTCCAGACAGGATTCCCAGCTTGCCTCAGGAGACTGTGGATCAGGAGCCCAAGGACCAGAAGAGGAAATCCTTTGAGCAGGCAGCCTCTGCGTCCTTTCCCGAAAAGAAGCCCCGGCTTGAAGATCGTCAGTCCTTTCGTAACACAATTGAAAGTGTTCACACCGAAAAGCCACAGCCCACTAAAGAGGAGCCCAAAGTCCCGCCCATCCGGGTAGGTGGCTACCCTGGAGCCACGTTCTCTTTGAAGGTTAATGGGGTTCCTCAAGCCCCTTTGTAGATAGACCCTTGTGTTAATTGTATGGGAGCAGATAGTTTTTTGTCAGAAGTTTTCTTGAAATTCTCTCTAGAGGTCAGAATCATTTGGGATTTTTAATTTTTTATTAGGTAGTGTTAGAGTCTGCTCACATAGTCCCACCAAAACTTAGAACGTAAATTTAAAAGTGTCACATGTAACAGCCCCTGAGCAGAATCCTTTTAGAAGGGTGTGGTGTTATGGACAGTCATTTTACCATGATTTCATTTTTTAGGAAAGTTACTTGGCTCCTTAGGCCATGATCCTTAAGTTACTTACATCCTGATTTTGCTTTATAATTGTTTCCCAAGTGAGATCATCCGGTCAGTTAAAACTGCCTTCCATTTCTTTTCTTGCAGATTCAACTTTCACGCATCAAACCACCCTGGGTGGTTAAAGGTCAGCCCACTTACCAGATATGCCCCCGGATCGTCCCCATCACGGAACCCTCCAACCGGGGCCGAACTGGCACCAGGACCCTCGCAGACATTAAAGCCCGTGCTCTGCAGGCCCGAGCCCAGCGAGAGGCGGCCACCATTGCCATCGGAGGGGGGGGTGGCCCGGGTGGAGGTGGCAGCAGGGCCACCGATGAGGGAGGCGGCAGAGGCAGCAGCAGTGGTGATGGTGGTGAGGCCGGTGGCCACCCTGAGCCCGGGGGAGCCCCGAGCACCCCTGGAGAGCGTGCGTCAGATCTACAGCGAACACAACTACTCCCGCCTTGTCCTCTAAATGAGGAACATGCCCAGGTTGAGACTGCCAAGAGAGAGGACCTGGGTTCTATCAGAAAGGAGGACAGCTGCCCCCAACAGCGGGCTCCAGGTGTCCTCACAAGTGACATGGAAGATACCTCCCAACTCCCCATTGTTCCCACCAGGGACCAGCCATGCCAGACCTTGCCCCCACTGTCCGCCAGAACCCCAGTATCTGAGAGATTGATTGAGCAGCCAAAGTTGCATCTAGATGTTAGAACTGAATGTGGGTCTGGTACCACTTCCTGGGAAAGGGATAATGAGGAGCTAGGACCCACTCTTTCCTCAGAACATAATCCTGTACAGTCTCTAGTGGGGGATGTTGTGTTGCAGGGAAGCACTGGCCAGGTTCTAGATGATAATCCCACTCTGAAGGATCCTATAAATGTGACCCGTAGTTCTTCCCCTGGATCGTCATTGGCTGACTGCCTGCAGGACAGACCATTTGATGATGAATTAGAACTTGGTAAGTCGTGTCCACCCATGAGGAAAAATGACACTAGACAAGAAGACTTGAAAGCTGAGCCTCTCGTTTCTGACAGTGTAGCTCCTTGGATGCCCAGCCTCGCAAGCGACAAGGGAGCAAAACAGCCTGGCCCCAGCTCTAGTGAGCTCCAGGTTGGAGAAGAGTGGGAGACACCTTCATTCATTGGCTTGACCCCTGAGGAGGGTCTAGATCCTCCTGACAACCTTCCTGTACTCTGGGCGGTACCATCTCAAGGCATGGGCAGCACTGATGGCATCTATAAACAGGTCCATGTTGAAAATCTTAAAATCAATGGTGACTCTGAGGCACTGAGTATTCACAGTGAATCCACAGATACAGCCTCTGACTTTGACGGCAGCTTCACTGAGGAGAGCAGTGAGGCAGACCCTGGGGAGGCCTCAGTGAAGAAGGGATCCTCACTTGTGGACAAGGATGAGAAACACGGTTGGTACCAATCCAAGTCACTCTCAAAAATGAATGGTGATCCAGGTCTGGTTACAAGGACAGATGGGATAGTTGCTCCTCAGAGCTGGGTGTCTCGTGTATGTGCAGGCCCCCAAAAGATCCCGGACTCTCTGCTGCTGGCCAGTACCGAGTACCAGCCGGGGCCAGTGTGCGTGGACAGGTCTAGGTCCTCAGTGGAGGCCACAGACCCGCTTGTGATGCAGTTGCTGCAGGGTAATTTGCCCCTAGAGAAGGTTCTTCCTCCAGCCCATGGTGGCAGCAAACCAGAATCCCTTCAACTACCACTTAAAAAAGAGCTGAGCCATGGGGGCTCCTTGGCGGTGGGAGGCTTGTCTGGTCCTGGGGAAGACAGTTGTACAGTTGGTAAAAGCAGCTCCAGTTCCTTGAGGGCTTTGAAGGACCCTCTTCTGCATGAAATCCATGAAGTAAACACTGGTCTTACTGGGCTAGAGACTACCCATGCTCCAGGAGCGTCCCAAAAGATCTCTAAAACAGTCCCAAGTTTAGACTCCCTACATCCAGTGACAAGTCCAGTGGCTTCCTCTGGGAAACTGGAAGAAATGGATTCTAAAGAGCCATTCTCTTCCTTTAGTTTTGAAGATCAGAAGGAAACCCAGGACCTGTCCCAGTGCAGTAACTCCAGTGCTGCTTCAGGCAGAAGTCCAGGGACACTCACTACCTCGAGAGCCCCGAGCTTCTCAACTCCAGATGCCGTCCTCTTTGGTTCAGACCAAGCAGGTCGATCCCTGGGGGATCAGAACAGTGTGGGAGGCCAAGGGAAGAAGCTGTTTGGCTCTAGGATTGTGGTTGCAACCCCTCAGTGCCCCAGGCCTGTGGATCCAGCACCATCACCTGCTGATGCCCCTTCTGTTCCCAGTAGGAAGTTGGGGCCAAGCAAAAGCTCTGTGTCTGGTGGGGTGCAGACTGCAAGGGAAGATTGGGCTCCGAAGCCACCTCCTGCCTCCACTGGCAGCATCAAGACAGAGAAGACTTTTGCAGGGGGTCCACTCAAGATGAATGCGGAGAACAGGAGAGCTGTTGGGCGTAGTCCTCTGGAGCTGATGGATCATTTGCAAGGGATGCCCTTTGTCATGGACCTGCCCTTCTGGAAGTTACCCCGAGAGCCTGGGAAAGGGCTCAGCCAGCCTCTGGAGCCTTCTTCCATCCCCTCCCAACTCAACATCAAGCAGGCATTTTATGGGAAGCTTTCTAAACTCCAACTGAGTTCCACCAGCTTTAATTATTCTTCTAGCTCTCCCACCTTTCCCAAAGGCCTTGCTGGAAGTGTGGTGCAGCTGAGTCACAAAGCAAACTTTGGTGCGAGCCACAGTACATCACTCTCCCTGCAGATGTTCACCGACAGCAGCACAGTGGAAAGCATCTCGCTCCAGTGTGCGTGCAGCCTGAAAGCCATGATCATGTGCCAAGGCTGTGGTGCATTCTGTCATGATGACTGTATTGGACCCTCAAAGCTCTGTGTATTGTGCCTTGTGGTGAGATAATAAATTATGGCCATGGGGAGAAGTTGTATATTTAGTGTGTGTATTTTGATAATGATTGATCTTAAATCTGTATACAGAATATCATTGATATAATGGTCTCTGTCTCTCTAGGCAAGATAATCCTTGCCTCCCTCTAAAATTTACAGTGCTAAAGCCCCCCCAGTCACTTACTGACCCTGTAGGGTGTCCCATTGGGCTGCCCAAGGCCAGCTTCCAAGCTCTTACACAGACATCTGAGCTTGGTGTTGTACAGGGAGCCTGCCTGACACCCAGAGGGACTTGAAACAGAAGCAAGAAGGTTGTGTCGTCCCCCAGGGGACCTAACCTACCAGAACTGAATAGAAATGTCAGTCTTCCACTGCCCACTTCCTACCATTGTTTCTTCTGCTACTTCGTTTGGGAAAGTGGCCAGCACAGGGTTAAAGTAACTCCCCGCATTGCCCACCAGGGGGCTGGAGCAGCCACCGACCTCAGGGTCACAGTTCAGTCCTTTACCCATTGTCGCTGCGGGTTTGAGCTTTGGCTCCACTGCTGAAGCAGATGTGGTACCTCAGTGTGATCCACTGGCCCCCGAGGTCTTGTGGAACCTTGACTAGACCTGCTTGGACAGTGGGGCTGGGGAACGGTGGTGTCCTTCCTGGGACCGTGCTATCTGTAGCCCTTGAAGTCAGGTGCCCAGAAATTTGGCAGGGAAATTCCTCCACTTGACACTGTCAGCCTGTTGCTTTGGACTCAATGGGAGTGGGCATCACACACCTGTGTACGTGAAAGTCATTTTACATTTCAAAGCAGTGTGTGTTTCTTATTTTTATATTTTTAACTCTTTATTCCTGGATGTATAAAGTGAACTTTTTGGCTTCTGTAAGTATGCTCTATGCACCTCTAATGTTTTATCATGTATTTATATGTTGTACACAGTACTGGCCAATTCTGTAAATGGATGTATTGTACAGAGAACACAAACGTCTCTTCCTTATTTTACGTCGTCAGCATCATTGCATTAAAGTGGTGTCATTTACTTATCCACACCTGTTGTCATAGCCACTGAGTGCTGTGCTGCACATCGGGAGGGTGGCATGATTGACTTGTGATTTGCCGGGCTGGCCTGGCTCTCCACACCAGGTCACTGGGTGGACCTGCCAGTTTACAGAGCCAGGGTCAGCTGCCTGTACTTGTCCACTGAGCAAGTGCATGTTGGTCTTCACATCTCTTCTCTTCTCTTCAACCGTTAATGATGGCTCACCGCCATGTGCGACAAACCACCACCACCACCAGTATTAAGTGCTTCTGGAGTCATGGGTGAGTTCCCTGGGCCGCCCCCGGGCAGGCCTTCCAGACCAGCTCTGGGGCCGCCACCTGGCAGCAGTGCCCAAGCGTCTCCAGGAGGAGCCACAGGGCTCATGTTGGTTGATGCCTGGCAGCAGGTTTTGGGGGAGACAAAGCAAGGCTTGCCTCTCCTCCCCCCACCTTTTCTCTCCCTCTCTTTCCCCCTCCGCTCCTCCCAACACATTTCTAGCAAATAGGTGCCCTGGCGCTTGTCTTCCCTCACCTGCTTCCTGCCATATTTCTTGTACCTTGACTTGTGGAGTTGACAGTTCTCCTTGTTTAATTTAGGTCTCCCTGTACGAGTGCTTCTGTATGAAGTATAAAAGTCCTATGATTCCAACAAGCCTCGTTTCATCTGAAAGGTCTTTCTCTCTCTCTTTCATGTACTCCCATGTGGCAGTTCTGTGGTCTGAAGCATGAGTGAGAAGTTATCAAGGAAGCAGCGATTGAGTATCGGCCAATTCCAAGTTGTCAACCTCAAAAAGTCTGTTTACCAAAGACAGGGAGCAGAGCCCCAAACCTGTTTGAACTACTCCCTCGTTTTGTGACCTTTGGGGCCACTCCAGTACAGTTGGAAGCTGGCCTTGACCACAGGGCTGCCTAGAGAAAGCACTGCTCTTGCATGTCTCTTGTGGCATCAGAAGAATTAAACCTATACGACCTGCAGTGGTAGTCTCTTGTCCTCGGTGGCAGCCCCGCTGATGTCGAGGGTCAGGTTGGAGTCAGAAGCTGGACTGGGTAAATGCTGGCTCCTGTCCTCTGACTGAGCTGATTTTTCTTGTCTTTGTGACTCCTCTTGAGTAAGGTTGGTCCAAAGGGGAGGACGTCTCAGCTTCACTGGTCTTCAGACTCTGCTTGTGACTTAACTTTTTCATATTATGTGCAAGGAGCAGAAATCCTTTAACAAAAACAAGCAGAGTTCTTTATCCCTGTGAATCAAAGCTGGTGGCCCTCCACAGCTGTTCCTCCAAACTGCCTCATGGAGATGAGTTTGCTAAAAGGATTCCTAATGGCTGATTATCTTGGGGAGGGTGACCACTTCTGACCTTGAAAACCTGTATGCACAACTTCACAGCTCTTTACACAGCATCAGACGGCAGTGAAGGAGGTGCTAGGAGGAAATGGGGCAAAAGTTAGCTGAGTAGGCCTCAGACCAAGGTATGGAGTGGAATAAGCCAAAAGCAAAAACTGTCTGTGTGTGTGCGTGTGTGCATGTGTGTGTATACATACGTGAAAAGGTTAAAACTATAATTTTTTTCCTTGAAGCTTTATTCTTGGCATAACACCCTTTGGAGCACCTCAGGCAGTTTTGCAGCGGTGCTGTTCGAGAATTGTGGTTAGGTGGCTCTGTGGTGACTGGGTAACTGCCTGGTGGTGGTGCTGTGTTTTCATTGCCTTCACATGACAGAGAACCCACTTGCCTACTTAGGTCTCCTGGAGCTCAGGTTGCTTTATTATCCAGCATCAGGACCTTATGTTGACAGTTGAATTTTGCTTGAAGTTGATGTTTGGCCTAATTGCATCTCATCAGAGAACAGAATAATGTAGGAACTTAGAGTGCAGGCTTTGCCAAGTAACAGCTCTCTGATCTTGACCTCTCTGCCAATTTTTCCATCTGTGAATGGGAGTAATAGTTTGTACTTTGTAAGATGGTTAGTGCCTGGCACAGAGGATGTGCTTGGTGACCGCTGGTGTGGACCAGGCTAAGACAGTGACAGCTATGTGAGAGCACAGTTCAAATCTGTGCAGTTGCTACCACCTGTTTCCTCCTGTCCCCAGGAGGGAGCTGTCACGATGTGCCTGGTGGGGATGCTACGGGGCTATGTTGAGGGTCTGGATGTTGGTCTCATGCTGCAGTTGTGAGCCCTGAGTTCAGAGAATGAGCATTTGGCAGAAGAGGCTTATTGCACTCGTGGTCTGAAGAATGGGAATGTGATACTTCAAAATATGGAAAGAATATTCTCTTAACTGGCCTGGTGATGTATCAGTTTGTTTTATATCCACCTTATTTTTGAGGAAGCAAGACACTGAAAGAGGAATATGTGTGCATGCACACATGACACATGCACTGAATCAGCCCACATGTGTCCATCCAGGACTGCGTTTGCTGACCCTGGCTGCCATTTGAAGTGCTAAGATGGGTGGGCTTTGTGGCCTTAGAGATGAGATTACTACTTAAAAAACAAAATGTGACTGCCTCATGCCTTCTCTTGCTGAAAGCTGTAGAAGAAAAGCCACGTCAGAAAGCACTGTCAGTGCTGCTTTACTGAGCATCAGTGGCTCGTGACTTTCCTGGGATCATGGACTCTTTGAGAACCTGGCAGAAGCTGTGGACCCCTGCCCACAAGAGTTGTTAGGGGGCCATCGAGTCAGTTCCAACACCTGGCAACTCTGTGCAACAGAATGAAACACTGCCCAATCCTGTGCTGTCCTCATTCGTTGGCAGCCAGTGTCTGTCTGTCTGGTTGAGGGTTTTCATCTTTTTTGTTGGCCTTCTGCGAAGTAATGATGTCCTTCTCTAGAGACTGGTCCCTCCTGGTAACAGTCCCAAACTACAAGAGGAAGTCTCGTCCTCCTCCCTTGTAAGGAGCATTCTGGCAGTACTGCTTCCAGAACAGGTCTGTTCCTTCTGGCAGGCCATGGTACATTCAGTACTCTTCATCAGCACCATAACTGAAATGCGTCAGTTCTTCAGTTTTCCTTAGTCATTGTCCAGCTTTTCATGCATAAGAGTTGATTGAAAATACCGTGGCCTGAGTTGAGTGCGCCTTAGTCCTCAAAGTGACATCTTGGCTTTTGAACACTTGAAAGCAGTCTTTTGCAACAGATTTGCCCAATGCAATACATTGTCAATTTCTTGACTGCTGCCTTCCATGGGTGTTGATAGTGGATTTAAGTAAAATGAAATCTTTGACAGTGTGCCCCCCCAAGAATGCAGATACTCAGTTGTGCATACTATTTCCAAGGGCTCCTGGGCTCTAGAGGCAGCTGGGACTCTCCATTTAAGAACCCCAGAAAGAAAACCTGGGTTTATACAAAAGATCAGTCAAGGAGGTGGGAGAGGGCTTTGTGAAGGAATCGTCTGGGTTTTCTGTAACCACTAAGCTTCCCTAGTACATTTTAGACTGAACAGTACAGTCTTCACATGCTCTCCTTTTCCCCTCATCAAAGTAAAGTGAGTGTTGCTTATTTTATCAGCAACTTTCAGTTGACTGTATTAAAGGAACATTCCCATTCGATACTGTCCTCTGTGCGCTGTTAACAGTGTGCTGGAGCCCTAGTTACAGAAGCCAGATTGGGACCCACCAGAGCTTTTCTGGACTCTGCGGTTCCTCCTCAGTCATCTAGGCCTGCAGAGCTGGAGCGTTTTCTGTGGAGGTGAGTGCAGCCAGCATGGACTGCGTGAGGTGGGTATGTGTCCCTTGTATGTTGTTCCAGGTTAAGGGGTTTGAATAGTCCCTGAGTCACTGGTTCACACAGCGGTAGTTTCAGTTGGACAGGAATTTGTATGACTAGTAACTGAGAATTCGCTTCCCCAAGGTCCCTGAGATGCTGAGGTGATGGGGTGCCATCTCCCATTTCCACCTGCCCTGCTGATTCCTTTATTAATCTTGGCCCCAGGGACACTGCCTCAGTGCAGTGCCATTCAAACTGTTGGCCCTCTCCTTTATCTT